GTGGGGGGGGGGGGTTGGGGGGCACCCTGAGTTCTCCCTGAGTGAGGTCATCCCAGGAGGCCACCATCACATTTTCCTCCCAGCCTCAGAAACGTTACCAGGCAAGTCACACTTACTGGGTTCCCGGTAGCTCCCTGCAGGTGCCAGCGAGGAGAGAAAAGAGAGAAGGTGAGAGTGTGCTTGGGAAGTCAAGCCCAGGCTCCAGTTCAGGAAGCATGAGGATGCCCCAAGCAGAGACCCTTGGGATGCAGACCTCACACTCCCCGACCTGAGCTGCTGATCTCTTCCTGTACTGGAGTGCTCTCACCTGGGGAGTTGAAGACAGGGGGCGAGGAGGGATTGAAGCCCACCGACTCAGCAATGAGGGTGTTGTAGGGGCTGGTGCCCCCACGGGGCTGTAGCACGGGGTTGGTCAGCAGGTGGTTCCCCATGGTACCTGTCCGGGACGTCAGAGGTCACAAGGTGGCCCAGAGACACTGGTCTAAGAACCTTGAGGGATAAAGTGAAGGGCGAGGGATGCTGTCTCACCTCTGTTCAGGGTGGGGGTACTGTTGATGTCGCCTGCCATGAAGGAGGACTCCGTCTGTTTCCTCACGGTGTCGTTCCACATCCTCCGGATTCGGCTCTGGGGACATAGCCTGGACGTGAGGGGGCCCCCGGGGCGCCCACCCTCCAGGATCTTTCTGAGGTCACTCGCCTGATGAGCACCACCAGGGACCCGGGCTGAGTGCTGCCTTGCCTCTCGGGCTTGTGGGTGCAACACTCAGCCCCAGGGAGCCCTGCCCGGTGCCCTGGCCCCGGCCCAGATACCTGGGTCCCTGTGTAGTAGCGGGTGTTGCTCCGCATGGCTGAGGTCTTCAGTGAGCCGTGAGCGCCCCCGGGGGGGGAACGGATGCAGCAGTAGGAGTGACGCAGGCACTTGCTGTACTCCTTGTGCACCTGGGTGGGGAGGAGGACAGGGAGCTGGCAGCGGGTGCCCCGTGAGCCTCTCCGTCTCCGGTCCCACCACGGCCAGCCAGCCTCTCTCGCTGCTCAGGCCCAACCTCCTTTCTCCACATCCACTGCTGGGTTTCTCATTTGTTCACACGACAGATCTTTAATGAGCATGTGCCGTGTGCCAGGGAGAGTTTAGGCCCCAGGAATGGCATAGAACAAATCAGACCCACGGCTCTACCTCTGAGAGCTAGTACCGTGGTAGACAGAGACACACGTAGATGCAAACGTCGGCACGTCGTGTGGGATGTTTGATGGTGTCAGGTGCTGTACAGACAACTATGACTGGGAAGGGGGTTGGGCCGTGCTGTGGGTTGGGGGTGTAGTGGGGGTCTGTGATTTCAAATAGACCAGGGGGAGCCTCCCTGAGGAGCCCTCTCAGCAAAGATCTGAAAGAAATAAGGCAGCAGACCTTGTGGATATGTGGGGAGGAGCAGGGACAAGCCCTGAGGAGGGTCCGTGTCTAGGTGTTCGAGAGAAAGCAGAGGAGAGCATGGCTGGAGGGGAGGAGAGGGAGGCCCGGGGAGGAATGTGAGAACCTGCGGCTGCTGTAAGGGTGTCGCTGTCACTGTGCGTGAAGTGGGGGCTGTGCGAGGATGTTGGCTTTGGCTGTGTGCCACGGGGGCGGCAAGGGGGTCACACTGTCCCTGCGTATCCAACGCAGGCCCCAGGGTCTTGCAGCAGCGATCTTGCAATCCCTGCTTCCTCTGTCCCCTGCTTCAGCCTTCCCCGCTTCACTGTCCACCTGCCCCCACCACTGTCTGGGGCTCCCTACTCCCTTGAAGACGAAGTCTACAAACACCTTGGTTCGGGTTCCCCAACTTTCGTCTAGAGCTTACTGCCTGTACACCCTCTCCACACTCGTCTGCTTCTGTGATCTCCTTCATATATATATTTCTTCATGATTCAGATTTTCACACATTTGAAGAGGAAACTGTTACCACAAAACTCACAGTTCATCTCCCAACTACTGAAGTAGAAACGTTCTGTCTGGGTGGTACTCAGTCCTCTCCCTCCTACACCCTTGATTTGTGCCCCACGCTGGGGGGTGGGGGGGGTGGGGGTGAGGTTGATCTTCTGTCACCATCCTGCCCTGTGCTCTCCCAGCTCCCCAGACCTGTCCTGCTTTCTTGCTCCCCCGTGTTGCCATATCTTGCTCTTTTCCAGAACCATCTTCACCCCTGCCTAAATCCTTCCTGATCCCAAGCCTGCTCTCCCCTCACAGCAGACACAGTGCCACTGCAGAAGGCAGGCACCTGCACCCCTCCCCTGACCTCACCTTCTTTTGTAAGGCGCAGTGAAAGACAAAGATGAAGACCCCCTGGAAGGCGTTGAAAGTGGTGAAGAGATAGGCCATGACCACCGACTCCTTATTGATGAAGAGCAGGCCGAAAGCCCAAGTGAGACCCAGCAGGAAGAGCAGCGCGATGGCCCCCAGGGCCCAGGATCTGGGGAGGGGGAGAGGGAGAAGGGATATCAAAGTCCCTTACAGTGGAGAAACCCTGCCCCGTAGCCCTGCTGCGTGTCCCTCTTCAGGCGAGCCTCAATGCCGTCTGCAAAGACCCACCTAGGATGCGTGGGCCTTGGGAGGAATGGCTTTCAACCAGCCCGGGCCCGAGGTCGGGGTTTGGGGTTTTGCAAAGGTCAGTCGTTAGCCTTCACCCTTTGGTCCGTGTTTCCAGACCCTTAAACTGTCTTTTGCTGCCTATTTCTCTGTAAGTTTCCTTGAGGTGGACTTACCTTTTGCACTTAGCCTTACACTAACCAGCTATGTCTCCAAGAGCACAGGTTAGATGTGTTAAATCCCGCGTTTTCCAATACTCATTAAGTAGATATATAACAGGCACAATAAAACACCACATTTGTCCTTAAACTGACATCGTGTGGTACTGAAAGTGAGAGCACCACATTTTAGGAAGCCCCGGGAGAGGCCAGGCCCAGTATGGAGACATCAGGGGCAGGGGTGTGCAGAAGGGTTGCTCACTTAATGTTGTCGAGGCGACTGGAGTCGGGCTTGAGCACAGATGAGCTCCGGATCATCTTGTGCAGGGTCACCATGAGGAACACCAGGTTCACCTGGGGGTGGGACAAGGGGAGGGGCTAGGCTACACGTGGTACTGGCTAGGCTAGGGGTCCCTCCACCTCCCATTGTGAGCTCCTGGCCAAGTCTTAGTCTCAACCCTCCTCCTTCAGGGCTGCCTCTGCCAATGTACCTGTGCTCAGGGGTCTGCTGACTGGTAACAACTGTTAATGTGGCTCCTGCTGCTGGGAGGACAGGGCCCACACCTGACACAGGCAGGGGCTCAAATCACAGTGCCTGGATGGATGGGCCTCGGTGCTGGAGCTTTACGGACCTGCTATGCTCTTGTCCTCTTGGTTGGCTGCTCGGTTTCGATGGTGGTCAAACCAGCCCTCCCAAGGCTCGGGGGGAGTGGGGGGTGCTCAGGGGTCAAGGCTAGCTTGCATGAAGAACGGAGACGTGGTACTGGCGGGTACCACCTTCCTACTTACCACGATAACAAAGGAGACTGGCCCGATGAAGCTCCAGATGAAATAATTGTCCACTCGGAGCCAGCAGCTATAAAGGAAGTGGGGCTGGGGTAGACAAGAGGCGGGAAAGCCCTCCCCCCCTCCTGGCCTTAGATCTCAGGAGGAGGGAGGCCAGTGCCCTGAGGGTCCTGGCCTAAGAAGTACTGCTGAGCAGAGAGCCAGGCAGGAGGAAAGACTTGGGGGTGGGGGGTGGGAGGAGGAACACTCACGCCTTCTCGGTGCCATAGCTGCGGTAGTCGATGGCAGCCGCGATGCCCACCACCAGTGCCGGGAAGCAGTAGCCCCCCAAGTAGTAGTACTTGGTACGGGAGTACTCGCTCTCAAACACTTCCACCAGCAGCAGATAGAGGTGCACACCCTCCAGGCACAGCCAGGAGAAGGCGGCCAGGAAGAAGTAGTGCAGCAAGCCAGCGAAGATGGGGCAGGCGATCTGGGGGCAGCGGGGACGGGGACCACAGGTGAGGAGCCACCCGGGCCGGCGCCACCTCTCCTCCCGCCTGCCTCTGTCCCTGAGCCCCAGCCCACCTCATACTGAGTCTTGTCGATCCCGACCAGGAAGAGCAGCTCAGCCAGGAAGAGGTTGATGCACAGGTTCTTGTGGATGGTGTTGCGGTCGGTCTGCAGCCCCCGCAAGAAGCAGAAGGTAGAGATACAGATGGCCAGGCAGACGAGGGAGATCACGATGCCCACCCAGGTGATGACCGACAACAGCAGCTCATTGATGCGGCCCTGGTACTGGGGGATTGGGGGGGGGGGGCACTCAGCACCTGTGGCCTTCGTGTAGCCAGGCTCACTCTGGGCTCAGCCAGGTACTAGTGGCGAGCAAGGCCATAGGTCACGGGCACCACCAGTGCTGCCCATCTGGCCTTCTGCCCCCTGGCCGGCTCGCCGGCCCCCACCCTTCTGCGGCTGGCACGCTCGCTTCCTCATGCTCTGGAAGGCTTGTGGAGAGATGATGAAGGTGACACCGACTTGCTTCTCCAGAGAAGGGAGAAGGTGGGACCGTGACCAGAAAGAACCAGACATATGGCCTCATGCCCCAGGCAAGACTGGTGGCCCCCCTCCTGCCCACATGCCCACGAAGCTGGCCTTCCCTGCACTGTCCATGCAGTGCTCTCTCTGCCATGCAAGGCCAGGAGAGCAGGTGGGCCTGCCCAGAGGAGCGGAGCGCCAGCCAGCTTACGATCTCGTGGTGGGCCATCAGCACGGCGAAGTTGGTGAGGTGGCTGCAGGCACACGTGGTGTGGGTCTTGTTGGACTCCACCAGGCGGCAGCCCTGGGTTGACCAGTAGCCCAGCATGGAACGCTCCGAGTAGTTCCAGAAGGAGCAGTTAGCATTGAAGTGGTTCTTGGCCTGTCGTGTGGTGGCGGCCGGGAAGTCAGGTCCAGGGAATCCCGTTCCGGCCCCCACACCCAGCTCCCGGGATGGTGACAAACATGAGAAAAGGGGCCGGGGCTCCAGGTGACGGTCTGGGGTCTCTGGGGACAAATGGCCCAAGCTGTTGAGATGGAGGCCGGGGGACCGGCGTCCCAGAAAGGGATCGTAACTTGTTCTTGGGGTGGGTGAACACATAGTGGGGAGAATATGCAGGCTGGGAACATGGAAGGTGGTGGGACCCCCACAGAGGGAGGGGGATGCCTCAGCTCACCTCCAGGTGGGCCACGGTGAAGATGACAGGGTCCATGAGAAAGACTCGACTGGACTCCTTGTTGATGGACGCCGCGATGACCTGCGAATTCACCACCAGGGAGGCGCCGCCTGGGCCACCTGTACCTGCTTCACCTGCCAGCTTCACTGTGGCGTTCTCGGTGGACAGGAAGAGACCCAGGTTGTTGTAGAGGATGAAAACGACTTTGACCACACCTGGGGACGATGGGCATGGCAGGGCGAGCCATCAGTCCTCGGCCCGC